TCTTAGCTTTGTTTGTTTGTTTGTTTGTTTGTTTGTTTTTGGAAACACATAGACTCACAGACTCTTAGAGCTAAGGGGTACCTGAGAGGTGCTGGTCCAGAGCAACATCTTTTTTGTGCTGACAAGGAAACGGGGTCCAGAAAGAGAAAGTGGTTTCCCCCAGGTCACATGGCAAGTGAGAGGTGAAGGGAAGAAGCATGTAGAAAAAAACTGGGTAACCGTTCCCTGACGGTGCAGGCTCCTGGGGAGGAAGTGGGTCTTTAGAGAGAACGGCAGGAAGTTGGCATGCGCTCCAGGAGGGCAGAGGACAGCTGTTTGGGAAAATGGTCCAAAACCAAATGGTGTTCCGTTGGGCCGTTTCATCGCGGCAGTGCGAGACTGTCTGACCGTGGGCAACGGAAAGAACAATGATAATTTGTTGTGCAGCCTTTGAAATGTTTACCATCAACATCATCTCAATTAATGGCATCCTGCTATCAAACTGACAGGGTAGGTGTTGTCATCCTTATTTTTTAAGATACTCAGAGAAGTTAATGACAAGCTGGTCAGCAGCTCAGAGAAGACCCAAAGTCAGCACTTCCTGACTCCATACTCCTGCTCCAGTGAGCCGCGCCTGACCCAGAGCTGCCCACCCTACGTGCATAGGACGATAACTCTACTATTTGGATTCACCATAGACTTCAATCTCTTACAGCCACAAAATCCTTCTCTCCTAATGTCCCTCCAGCTCATGTCTCCAGTCCCACCTTCTAAGGAAACTTCTCTGACCAGCCCAGTCCACCAAGCCCTCTATCTTCCTCTGAACACTTCTAGGGGTTGCCGTCTACACCCTGATGGACACTTGTCAACCACAGTCTGGTTTCAGAGGAGAAAGGCTCAGCATCTTATCATTCAAATTCCAGGTTAGCCGACAGTCCCTACATACCTACTATGTGCCAGGCTCCGGGTCAGATAACTTCCCCACCCAGTCTCATGTGATTGTCACAGTCCCCCAAGAATGCAGGGTTTGTGGTGCCCATTTTGCCAAGGAGGGACCAGAGGCCTCAAGGCCTGAAATAAGTCGCTGTATTAGTTTTCTATTGTGGCCATAAGAAACCACCGCAATCTGAGTAGTTTACATAGCACAGATTTATTTTCTTGTAGGTTTGGAGATCAATTTGCGGCGTCAGAAGGCCTGTGTTCCTCCCCGGAGACTCCAGAGGAGAATCAATTTCTTTGCCTTTCCCAGGTCTAGAGGCCATCCGCTGCTTGGCGCATGGCCCCCTTCCTCCGTTTTCAAAGACAGCAACTGAGTCCTTCTCACAGTGTATCTCTGACTCTTCTTCTCTCTTGGCATCTCTCCGTCCAACCACAGCCAGGAAAGATTCTTCACTTTTAACAACTCATATGATTGGATTGGACCCCCAGGATCGTCTGGGATAATCTCCTTGTCTCAGGGTCTGTAGCCTTAACCGCATCTGCAGTCTCTTTTGCCGCATAAGGCAGCATGTTCATAGGTTCCAGCGATTCAACTGTGGGCATCTTCGGAGGGCCTTCATCCTGCCAACCACACTTGCCTAGGACCACGTTGCTAATGAGTTCGGGAGCCCCAGGTGGGCCCCTATCTCATTCCCATGGTCATTCTTTCCCTGCTCTATTCCACTCTCCCTGTGGTACCAAGTCAGCAAAGTTTATTCATTCAATCAAACAAATTCATTAACTAACTAATTAATTAACCCACATATGAATATTCTGACCAAGACAGGCACTCAGAGGAATGATAAGCAAAGGAGATTAGCAGGAAGAGCACAGACTTTGAAGTTATGAAGTCTTGGATTCAAGCCCTGGTTCTGCCCCGAGGGCATGATCTTGGGCAAATTATTTACCCTTTCTAAACCTCCATTTCCTCCTCTGTAACATGCAGACGAGAATATTAATCTCGTAGTGCTGTGGGCATTAAATGAGACAGCGCGTGTAAGATGTTTCCTGACACCCGGGAAATATGGAACAAATAGTGGTCATCCCATGAGGCCACTCATCCCATGAGGCCCATGTGAGGAACGGAGCACAGGGGAGGTGGACTTGCCCCTCTGGAGGTGATGAGCATTGTTTCAGAGCCAACAAGAAGGGATTGGGAACTTACAGTGGTCAAGGAGAGTGGGACTCTGGGCTTTCATTAGTTTAAGGGGGTAGGAGCCTGGAATTTCATTGGACTAGGAGAATAAGGTCATGCAGTCACCTCAGCCCCAAAGGAACATAAGGTGCAGATCTGAGGCATCTCTCTGTTAAGCCCCAGATTTATGGCCATTCCTTCCCAACAGGCCTGAACTTTTAGAATCAGGTGGGCAAGTTATGGCCTCAGTCGAGTAACCGAATCTCAGTTTCCTCACGGCTACAATAGGAATAACAGTTATCATCTCCTTCACTTTCTACGAAGATTATGGATGTGAGCGATGCATATCCCCACAGCAACCCTAAAAGGTAGATATTATTATTCCCATTTTAAGGATGAAGAAACTGAATCTCAGACAGAAACAATCACTTCCATGAGTTTGCACAGCCCGTGGGGTGATAATGACGTTGTTGATTATGAGAACAATAGCAACCACCATCTCATGTGGACGCTGAGCCAATTATGTAACCTGTCCTGTGTTTCAGATACATCGGTGGTAGCAGTGGGGTAGGTCTATTCTCATTGTGATGGTCCCTCTCTGGGTTCCTGCTTCTGCTCTTGCCTTCCATGTTCTCCATTCAACAGCCAGAGTGACCCTTAAATCGTTATCACTTCTCTGTTCCTCCAAAGGTTTCCCATTTCACTCAGATCAAAATCCAAAGCCACTCCCGCGGCCTTCAAGAGCTGTTCTGCTGCCTCCCTGACCTCGCCTCCTCCTCTCTCCTGTCATTTGCTCCACTCCACTCCAGCCACTCTTCCCGGAATGCACGCTCCCACCTCCAGGCCTTTGCTCTTGCTGTTCCTCTCCCCGTACATCTCCCAGTCTCTGCTCAAATGTCACCTTTTCAGTGATGCCCTCCTTGACCCCCTTTGTCAAATAGCTCCCATACCCCACCCCATCACCTTTTATCTCCTTACCCTGTTTCATTTTTCATCTAAACAAGCACCACCACCTGATAAATTGGGGTCGTCCATCTCTTGGTTTGTCATCCATCTCTTCCCGTAAGAATATTAGCTCCCTGAGGGCAGGGGCATTGCTTGCCTTATCACCTGCTGCATCTTCATTGCTTAGACCAGGGCCAGGCACACAGTAGGTGTCCTATGCATGGCTGTTGCATAAGAAAATGAACTACTAGGCTCTGTTGCACATCGTGGGCAGAGGGAGGAAGAACGCAGAAAGCAGGGGCTGAGCAAAGCGGGAAGGGGCGAGAGGGGGAGGCAGAGCAGTTGTGAAGGAGGAACGGCCAGGGCTGCTGACAGCTGCCCGCGGGTGCCCCTGGCCCGGCACAGCTGGGTGCAGATGCTGATCTTCCCGCTTCTCCTCCCCAAAGTGGAGAGCACTCCGGAACCACCCAGAGCTGAGCCCCGCCCCAGAGCAGGCAAGAGAACCGAAAGCCAGACCTGGAGTCTTCAGAGGTGAAGCAAGCCTCAGAGAGCCTCTGGTCGGCTGATTCACTGCTTTGTCTCCAACAAAGAGGTGAAGGAAAGGAGGGCGCTGGGAGTTCAGCCCAAGAAAAGGAAACTCAAGCCTAACAGAGCATTGACCACGACAAGAACAGCAGACATAGCCATAAGGGTCCCAGCAGAAAACAGAATCTACCCCAGATGGTGCAGATGAAGAGCATTTAATAAAGGGCCCATTTACAGATGTGGATGGGACCTGAGGCTCCCGGGGCCAGCGGTGGTGTGAAGCCATCACACCCGGAAAGGAGCAGGGGGAGGAGGCAGTGATGCTGGAGGCTTCAAAGAGGGTGGTGGGAACTGCCGTAGTGGAGAAGCACGGCTGCCGCCACAGATGCGAGGCTCCCTCTCTGCCCTCTGGGCTCCTGCCAGAGGCCTCCAAGGCCAACCTCAACCAGAAGGCAGGTGACAAGGGAGCAGGGGAGATGCAGTGTCAGGGTCAGCCTCCAGGGCACAGAGCAGGGTGGGAAATGGATCCGGGTGAACCACAGAGAAGAACCAGCAGAGCTTTTCCCACTGCTTGGTGCAAAGCCTGGCACAGACTAGATCCTCAGTATGTGTTTGTTGAATGACTGAGTTAATAAATGCTTGCCAGGCATCCCCCAGCCCCAACTCCCAGCATCCTCCACAAACTGCTTTGTCCTCAATACTCAGCACAAGCACCAAAGGTGCTTAAAAGCTTTCACAGACACACACATACCCACACTCCTCTTGAGTTCTTACTATGTGCTGGGCATGGCTTAAGCCCCTTATATTCATGGTATCATTTACTCCCTATCAGGTGAGTTTGCTGTCCCGAATTTTCAGATATGGAAACTGAGCCTCAAAAATGTTAATAGCTTTCCCAAGATGACTCAAATAGTGAGGGGCAGAGCCAGGGCCCCAGCCCAGGCGAGCATAACTCAAAGGTCTATGCCCTCAAGCACCACATTCTGCATCCCTGAGCCTCACATGGGGCCTGCCAGGTGATGGGAAGTTATCAAATAGTGGCCAAAGGGAATTCTCCCTACGGTCTCCATGCGGGTGGGAGATTATGAGCCCAGTTCTGCACAGCAGCTGTCTCCAGTCCAAAGTTACTGGATGCAAAACGGATTGTTCTCGGCTGGTTTGAGATGGTCCCCACAAGCAGGCTTCACTCTGACTCTGGGATAACCAGTGATGTGCTTGCCTCCCTCCCCACTCCCTACAGAACAATCATTGAGGACCCTGTCGGCGCTGGCCTGGGCCCCCGCACAAGCTGATCAGCTGGAAGTTCCCACTCCTGTGGCTAGAGTCTGGGGGAGTTGGTGATGGGAGACACAATGCTGGGTTCGTAGAAACCAACCTACTCAAAACTCAGAAAATGAACCCAGAAAGAACACTGCCTTGATGGTGCAACTCTTGTTTGCCTACCATTTGACTTCTAGCAGGAAGTATTTTTAAAGGGTATTTTTCTCCCTTGCTGGCCAGTTCCTCATTGAGAAACTCTCTTTTGTGACACTTGGACGTCTTAGCTCCCAAAGTGATGATGGGACTTTTTTTTTAAATTTCCACTTCCAGGTTTGGATTCACTTCTTCATTCATCTGGAAGAGCAGAAAGGATTTCCAAATGCTTACCAAACATCTCCTCTGAGCACAGAAGGCTGGCCTTGTCCCAGACCCTGACTGTCACCTCTCGGAACCACAGGACGGGATGTTTCCACCTCCTCTTCCTCTGCCCATCCCCGACTCACGCACTCAGCGCAGTTTATCAGCCCCTCCATGTACCCCCATACGTTATGAAGCAACATGATAAAATCTCCTGTTGGGTTTGGTAAGAAATAGAATGTAACCTGATGTTGAAACCATAGTGGGCTTCAGAGCTGAATGGGCCCACGATGATGCTGGAAACTTCCTTACTCCCTGCCCTTCCTGGGGACCAAGAAAACAGAAACCATGACCTGTTATGGTGGCCCATGGACAGAGTCCCTCAAGTCCCTTATACTGCACATTTACCCTATCACCAAGCTGTTAGGCCCTCTGTGCTTCAGTCCTTTCGATGACTACAGGGTATAAGCTCCTGCTTACTCGGCTAGCCTCACCTCCTTTTCCTTTACTCAATCTCCGTGCCAGACAACATCATCCTTCCTTTGCTTATGCTGTTTCGTCTTCCTGGAATGCCTTTCTCCCTCAGGCTTTCTCTGGCCAGCTCCTACTTAAGTTGGAAAACAGAGCTCAGACTCACCCTGAGCATCATTTCCTGAGCCCCAAGCTATGCTGCACCCCTTTGGAGCCCCATGCTTCCCTCCACCTCAATCTTTACCACCTTGTGTTGAAAACATCTGCTCTCTGGCCTACTTCCCACAGTAAACTCTGAGGTCTGGGAAGACCTTGTCTGGCTCCTCCCTGATTCCTCGAGCCCAGCACAGGGCCTGACATATAATGGGTGCTCCAGGGACCACTTTCTGGAATCTGGCTCAATATGCTTCATTCGCCCTCATCCTCATGTGAATTGGCGCAGCCCCTGCACCAGAGAAACAGGAACTTGGAGATAAGTACAAAGAGACCCAATCCCCTCAGCCCACAGGCTCTCCCACCTTTTGTGGTGGGTTGTGAAACAGAGAGAGGGCAGCCTAGAGTGGGGCCCCATAAGCTGTTAGGGGTGGGAGCCCCTGGGGCAAGACGGTTCCAGCAAGGAAGCAGGTGGCCCATGTGCTGTAGGCTTCATGGGTCCAAAACCATCCATCCCACCAGGAATCCCAGCAGTAGATCAACTTTCCTTTAGCTCTAATCTCTCCCCTGATTAGAATGGAAAGCCCCATGGTGTGGACGTCTAAGCTGTCTTTATCTCTACAGCTTTCTTTATAATCACAAGTGATATACCAGAACCTGTGCCCAAGATCTCATTTAATTTCATAACAACTCCCCAGTTTAAAGATGAGGAAACTAAGAAAAATTAAGTTGCCCAAGATCACACATCTCAGAAACGGTAGAGCTGGAATCCAAGCCCAGGTCTCTCTGGCCCCCTGGCCCTTTGACTTTGACCCAAAAGGTTAAATGGTCTGCTTGAACAAGGGGTCAGTTCCCTGGACAGGAACCAGGAGACCCCCCCCCCCATGTGACTGTGGCCTGGTCACAATCATTCTGACCCTTGATTTTCTCATCATTTCCCTCTAAGCCCAAGTCTACACTTGACGCACGACACATTTAGCATCACTTTCCCTACAGAGCCTCTCCCAACTGTTCCATGTCATAGGCAATGGAGAACTAAGCAGTCCGTCCTTTGTGCTCCCATTGGCCCCTTGGTCCCAGCACCCAGGTATCAGTTAGTTATCACTGTGTAACAAACCACTCCCAAACTCAATGGCTTCAAACCAGTAATCAGAAAACATTGTCTTGAAGAGCTAGATAGTAAACATTTTAGGCTTTGCAGATCAGTCTCCTTTGCAACTGCTCAGCTCTGCCTTTGTAGCTCAAAAGAAACTATAAACAATACACAAATAAACAGGTGTGCCTGTATTCTAATCAAACTTTATTTACAAAAACAAGGAGCTGGCAGGCTCACAGGCCATAGTTTGCCAATCCCTGCTTTGAGCAATAAGCATTTATCATTACTCATGAGTCTATGAGTTGCCTGAACCAATCTGCTCACCTGGGCCAGAATCCACTGATCTTGGCTGAGCTCACTTGGGCATCTGTGGTCAACTGGCCAGATGCCTAGTGGTTAGCTTGTCTAAGGTGCTTATTTGCAAACTTAAGAGTTGGCCTGCTATCAGCAAAGGTGACAGATAACTGGGCCATGTGTCTCTCTTCGTCAAGGAGGCTAGCCTGGGTTTATTCTCCTAGAAGCTCTACAGGGTTCCTAGAAATGGTGGAGGCACGCAAGGCCAATTGAGTTCTAGGCTTAAAACTGGTCCACCAACACTGGCATCACATTTTGTTGACAAAGCACACCACAAGACCAGCCCAGATCTAAGGCGTAGGGAAACAGCCTAGGTCTCTTGATAGCAGGAGCTAGGAAGTAACATCAAAAAGCATATGGATGTAGCACAGGCCAAAGAATTGTGGCCATTTCCACAGTCATTCCGCCATAGCCAGTTGCACTTGTGTGTATGTATTTGTTACATGTGTGCCTCCCTCTTTTTAGACTCTAAGCCCCTTAAAGATGAGTTTCTATGTCTTATTCATCTTTGTATCTCAGTGCCTATCACAGTTCCTAGAAGAGTCTGTTTCACCTGCCAAAGGGCCCTCAAATCCATTCATCTCCATCACCACCACCTCCCCCTTGGTCCAAGGTATTGTCAGTTCTCACTTGGCCCACCGCCACAGCCTCCTGACTGCTGAGGGGTGGTTAATATTTTCTAGGCCTTGGGAACAAGTTCATATCCATTGGAGCAGGAGAACAGGCAATTGCAGAACACCGAGCACCTGGGAGGGGAGGTTGGCGGCTTCTGCTAATACAGGAGACTAGGCAGGAAGAGAAGTCTGGGGACGCTGATGCTCCGGTCATGACTCTGGTCAGTGTTGGTCCCGGGGAAGCTCCTAACGAGACAGCCGGGGTCAAGAACGGCAGGAAAGTCCAAGACGTCTGGCGCAGGGAATGAACGGTGGTAAGCCAGGAGTGACGTGGGTTTAGCATTGAAAGCCCAGGACCAACCCCCAGCTCTGTTTCTTTACAAATAACTTAACCTCTCTGTGCCTCACTTCATAATCTGTAAAATGGGAATGAAAATAAATAACTCCCTCTCACCAAAAAACCCAAAACAAAAGAGTTTATGTTGAAGGATGCTGTAATAAGAGCCAACGCGCACCGTGTGCCAGGAGTGGCTCTGCCATTTTACACACTGTAGCTCATTTAATGCCCCCACAGCCTTATAAGGCAAGTCCTGCCCTTACCTCATTTTGCAGATGAGGCAGCGGAGGCTCAGAAACATTTAGTAACTGTCCAAGTTTGCACAGCTAGTAGGATATGGATCTAGGATTTGAGTTCACACTCTTTTGTTCCAGAATCTGTGCTTGTTATCCCTCGGCACACTCAACAAACCCCAGGTAACGTTATTGCTAAGGCTCTCAGCCTGCCCCAAGGTCAGGCATGCCTCCCTCTTTCCTTCCTGTCTGCATTTTCCTGGCTAAATGACAAAGCAGAGACTTGTGTCCTGCACTTGCCTCTGCCAGGTCCTCACTTCCTGACCTTGGCCAAGCAAGGTCACCTTTCTCAAACTCAGCGTCACCTTTTCCATAAACGGAACCTAACAATCTGCGCCACCCTGGCAGGGTCATCCCAAAGAACAACAAGACGGACATGACAGCGCGCTGTGAGTTACCCAACAATGCCCAAAATCAGGGGGCTGCAGGATGGGGCAACTCCAGGCGTGAAGAATGTGGCCACGGAAATGCCCAAGGCTTGCTCAGGGGGTAGCTCTTACAGAATGGCTGTCCCCATCCAGAGGTCACCTTGTTTATGCAATGATCGACTCCTGCTGAAACCCGAGAGGCTGCCGTCTGCCCTCCGAGCAGGCCCAGACGCCGCTGTCCTATTCGCTTCATTGGCTTCAGGTTGGTTTTTTCTTTAAAAAAAAGTTTGGCAAGGGATGTTGTCCCAAAAATTTTTAAGTGGTTTGGTTTTCTTTCTCTCTTTCTTTCTTTGCCCAATTTTTTTTTTCTTTGATTGCATGTAACTTCAAACAATGGCGTCATTGACCGGCCCCTGGCGGCCTCCTGCCTTGGGTCCCACGCTGAGCTCTGCTTTCTAAATCCTTGGCTGCTGCCCCTCTGACCTTGAAACCGCAGCTCTCCTTTGAGGTCCCGTCACATGGCATCTGAGGCTCTGTAGCCTTGGAATGGCAGTGTGGGCTAGCCAGGATGCTGATTTCTCATTTTAACTCATCCATTAGTATCGAATGCCCAGTGGCGTGTTTCCCTTCTCCTCCAATGAGTCTCCAAAATTCTCAACATTAAGCAACACGGGTCTAACCTTCCCACTCTTGACTCCTTGTTCAGGGGAACATGATAAACGAGGCTGACGGAGGTCTCCTGCACTTAGACACGTATAAGGTGTATAACATGCATTTTCTGCCCTTCTGGATTCCCAGAATCAGAACACTTCATGTTAAGACAGTAATTTCGGAGAAGAGGAACATTAAAACCCAGCAGTCATTTACACTAGAGTATGAATTGGCCTTTTTAACCGATCTAAAAGCAGTTGGTGTTAGATAGAGAAAGTGGAGAAGATGAGACTTCTGGAAGTTACAAGTGGGACAAGATACCACAGAGGGTGTGAAAGGGCTGGGAACAGAGGGTTGTCACATGCTGATAATAAACTTTACCTCTCTCATGAATTTGCCTTGTACTAAGACCATGCCAAAGCTTTACTCTGAAAAACTGTTATCATCTAAGAGACCTCCATACTGTTTATGAGGTTTATTCTCTATTTATGTCATTTAACAAATTTTATAAAGTACATCTATGTGTTAGAGGATACAGATCTTTACAAATATAAACTAATTTAATCCTCACAACAACCTCACTAGATAAATATTATTAGTATCCCCATCTACAGATGAGGAAACTGAGGGACAAAAAAATTAAATAATTTGCCAGATGTCACATAGCTTCTGAATGGTGGGGCCGGATTTGAATCCAGACAGTCTGGCTCTAAAGCTGATGGTATTAACCTTTGTGCTGTAAAAGCAAAAGAACACAAAGCCATCGGTATAATTTTATTCTTTTGGAGCAAGTAAATGAATCAACTCTTGTGGTGAGTAAGTCAGTTCAACATTCAGCTTAAAAAGCATCATCAAGACCGTCAGAGCCAGTGTTCAGAGACTGGCTTCTGAACTTGATGATAACGTTCGTTAATTCACCTTCTGGACTCATTCGACAAGTATTACCAAGCACCCTTTCTGCCTCGGGCCAGACCCTGAGGGCGCAATCATCACGTCAACAGTCATGGCCCTGCCCGCTCAGAGCCTGGACAGCAGAGGGGCCTCAGCTGGTAGTTGCAAGACAGGTGGCAGGTGGCAGGTGTGGGCCAGCTCACTGTGGGAGTCCTGGGGTGAGGATAGGGGCAGTATAGAGAAGTGACATCTAAGCTGAGGCCTCACAAAGGAGTAGGAGTTGGCCAGATGACAAGGCAGGGACAGAGTGAAACAGGAAGTGGAAAGAGCAAAGCTCAATGGGTGATTGACAGCCAGACGGTTAGGAAAACAGACAGCTGAGTGAGGCTGGTGGGGGAAACATGAGATAGCAAGGGTGGGAGCTAAGGTGGACAGATGGCAGGGCCGGATGCCATGGGGCCATGTGGACCCTAATGTGGAATTGGGGTTTACTCTGAGGTCAAAGGGGAGCAGACCCAGGGAGGCGCTGAGGGGGTTTAAGCCAGGGAGGGCCACATAGAGATTTGAGCAGGAGCAGACGTGGAAAGGAGTGGTGGCTTCCAATGACTGTAGGGAGCAAAAGGCACATCTGTTCCCCTAAATGGGCTTCTAGATCTGTAGGTTGATTAGAGACTAAGCCTGATTACCTCAAGTTAAATATAACAGTTTACCTCAGACGTCTGGGCTCACTTCTCCTTGAAACAAGAGAGACTTGTCAGAGAAAACACGCCTATAAACGAAATAGTCTCCATTGATGAGAGAAGTCAAACTAAAGAGTCTTTCAGGTTACAGACTAAAGATATTTGATTCTGGTTAAACTTCTTGTCCCCAGATCCCGTGAGTACAGAATAAAAACGAAGACAACTGTGGATACGGTAACAGAAAGTAAGCGATGCTGGGGGCTCGCCCTCCGCCAGAGGTCTGCTGAAACCTGGGTCTCTCCTTTCAGCTTTAAGGAGGGCTTGGGGTGCCTCCCATGCACAAGACAGTTCTCCCCTTAATCTGGTGACATCCATTCACCTTTCCTTTGCCACTCGCCTGTGCTTCCAGTCACTTCCATGGCAGCCGCCACCGTTCACGAAGGCTGCTCATCCTGCCAGTATTTCCTGCGCTCCTGCCTCCTGGCCGCCCACCCAGGCCTGCTTCCAGCCACTCTCTCTTCCACACTGGAAGTCATCTGGTATGAAACCCCTTGATGTGGCCACAAAGCTGAGCAGACACACTGTCTTGGGTCCTTGGAAACCTTTAGGCGCAGCTCCTTCATTCCCCAACAATCTTGCTTTGATTGCTTGCCAAATGCCAGGCCCTGGGGACAGGGATGAATAAAATGCAAGCCCAGCCCTTGAAGAGAGCCTAGCCTCGTGGAGAAGGGGAGGACTCTTTTGTTGGGCTCTCCCATTAGGAGGGGTCCCAAAGCCTGAGGCTCAGGCATCCACATAAGTGCAATGTCACCAGGTAATGGTCATGGGGAAGGCATTCCAGGAAGTGGACACATGCAGGGGACAGTGTCAGCCTGGCGTGCCCTGAGGGTAAATCTCCCCCTTTAGTGCTGAAGAGAGCCCCGGTATCTTGCTCCACATTGAGCTGAGAGAGAACAACAATAGCGATAGGAATACTAGTAACTTACTATGTTCTAGACCAGCTCTGTCCAATAGAATATTCTGTGACGATGGAAATGTTCTGCATCTGGGCTACTGTGCACTTAAAACGTGGCTAGTGCAATAGGCAAACTGAATTTTTAATTTTAGTTCATTTAAATAGCCACATGTGACTAATGGCTACCATATTAGCACATACAAGATATTGTGCTAACTACTCTCTGGGTAATGCATCAGTTCTAACAATAAACAATGAGGTAAGCACGATTATCATCTCCACTTTACAGATGAAGAAACTGAGGCCTAGAGAGGTTAAATAATTTGTCCAAGTTACTGAGTTGGTAAGTGTGGAGCCAAGATTCAAATCCCAGCAGACTAAGCCCAGAGGGAAGAAATGGTGCCTGCATTATACATTCATTAATTCATTCCAGAGGCGCATGGTCATTGTGCCCATTTTTAGTCAAGCACTATGCTGCATGATGGGGATACAGACATAAGTGGAGTTGGGGCCCCAGCCAAGGGGAGCAGGTGATCTATAGAGGGAGACAGATGAACTAAAGAAAGCCTCAAGACCCAGTGACAACTGCCATGGTCAAGGTCAGCTCACGGTGCTGGGGGGCCCTCAGCCGGGGCCATTAACCCAGCATAGGGATGTTCGGGAGGTCTTGAAGATGAGCTGGGCTTCTCTATTCACAGCTTCTTCCTCCTTCCTGAGCCTTGACCAACTCCCCCAACTCTCCCCTCGAGGTGTCCCCTCCTCATGACAAGGAATGCCCGAGAGGGAAGACGGGGGCAGTCCCAGGGCAGGGGATCAAGTCACCCCACTCTCATGAAGCTCATGAGACACTCAACAACTCGAAATCTCCCCCTGACATGACCTCAACTGTCCAAATTGGCCATTGGTAAACCACTCAGATTGTGGCTTCCAGAAATTTCCAAGATTTTCATCTTTCAGAACCTCACTTAGCACTCAATTGATAATCTGCCTGCAACCCAGCTGTGGAGCTTTAGGGTCAGCTAGACCACAATTCAAGTCCCGCTTCCACCACACAGTGGCCTGGTGACCTTAGGCAAGCATTTAAAAAACTTTCTGAGCCTCAGTTTCCTCATCTGAAAAATTAGGATAGTAATAGTTACTTTTCAGAGTCACTATGAGGATTAAATGTGTGTGAAGCTGCTGCTACTTTGTAGACTTTTAGGAGATAGCTGCTATTATTATTAAAGTTATTATCCATTAAAGTGACATGGTCTACTTCGTAGTAGTCCTTGGTTCTCTGTCTTTCCCACCAGGGCACTGAGGCAAAGGAAGGAAACCAGAGGTGTGGAACACATGACCGAGTGTTAGGAGATCTGGGGGTCCCATCCGAGCATGATCACTCACTTGTGTAAAATTGGATGAGTCACGTCGCCACTCTGGGTCTCAGTTTCCCCATCTGTAAAATGGGAATACCAGCCTAGGTTTGGCAGTCTTACAAGGGAATGCCTACTGGGACAGGGCAGGAAATGAAAATGAGCTCAATGGACCTAATGTGGGGGCATCTACCATTCATTTCCTGCAGACAGTTGCCACGTGGGAATGCCAGCCCACTGTTCCCAGATGTTCTGATTTTCACCAGAAGCTGGACATGCCATTTGTGACAACATGGATGGACCTTGACGACATTATGCTGAGTGAAATAAGTCAGACAGAGAAAGAAGACAAATACTGAGTGAGTTCACTTATATGTGGAATCCAAAAAAAACCAAGCTCAGAGATACAAAGAACAGATTGGTGATTGCAAGGCAGGGGGTGGGGAGTGGGCGAAATGGGTGGAGGGAGTCAAAATGGATTTACTGTAAAAAATCTTGAATTAAAAAAAGATGGTAACTATTTGATCTGTTAATCTTATCAAACTCTATAAAGTTAAACAAAGCAGGTCTTCAAGCCAAGGCTAGCCCAGTGGCTGCCATTTTGGTGTCTACAGGCCAGATAACCTCTCAGGGCCTCTCAGTCCTGAAGGGCGGTCCTGAAGGAGCCTCCAAGACACTGCCCCTCCACCCCTGATGCCCCCTTTGCCTGTTTCTGAGAAAACAGATCTTTCAGGTCCCCTTTTCGGTTCCTTCCCCCACGTGCGTCACTAACCTATGAGGCCTCAGAGGGTGCCCCGTGGAGGGCTGGGCCTCCTGGAACCCTAGAGAAAGGCGTCTTGGCAAGTTCTCCTTGCATTTCCAGGAGCCTCTGCGCCTCTCAGTTCCCAGTTCCAGTGTGTGACGGTTGATTTCCTACGCTGACCTCACTCCCCACTGCGCCAGGCAGAGAGGGTTAATGAAATAATCATTTCAGCCACAACGTGGGAGAGCAGGTGCGAAAACCAAGGCTGAGCTGACAGCCAGAGTGTGTTAAGAGCCGTCCACATGCACGGCATTGTTCAGAGCATGGCGTAGGACCTACTTAATTTTTGTGGCTGCCCTATAAGGTAGGTCCTCTTATCATTATCATTCTGCAGATGAGAACACTGAGGTTCCAGGAGGTTAAGTAACCTGCCCAGGGTCACCCAACTAGTAAGTAGCACTGCTGGGACTCAGATGGTCTGGCTCGAGAGCCCCAGGCTTGTAAATTGTATCCCCTCTAAGCCTGAGACGCATTGTCAACCTCATCCTAACCCTCCATGGCCTCCCCAACTCAGGTTGGATTGAATGGTCCTGTCTGATCCAGCACCAGCCCTGCTCTCCAGTGTCATATCCCACAGCCCTCATGAATCAGATGTGCTTCCGTGCCTTTGCACATGCTGATCCCTCTGCCTGAGATGCTCTTCCCTCCATTCTCGGACTGGTGGGTCCCATGGCTGACCCTTCAAAGTGTCTCCTCTGTGAAGGCATCCCGGACAGTGGGTTATTCCGTTCCCAGTCCTACATCTGCATGGCACGGTGTACATGCTTCGTCACTGCATTGGCCAAGCATTATCTCAATGTTTGCTTGTCTCTCTCATGGAATTAAGAGCTCCTTGAAGGCAAGACTAGGGCTTACTCATCTAGCCCTGACAATACAGCAGACTCAATGCACAATGTCCAAGATGACCTGCACTGACCCCCTTCCCTTGATCTGCCTGCACGCCCTTCACGTTTGGGTCAGCCTGACCCCACGGAGACTGAGGTACCACAGCTTAAGCAGCAGAAATTTATTTCCTCACAACCCTGGAGGCTGGAAGTCCAAGATCAAGGTGTCAGCAGGGAGATTTCTTCTGAGGCCTCTCCCCTTGGCTTGGAGATGGCCATCTTCTGGTGTCTTCACATGGTTGTCCCTCTGTGTGTGTGTGTGTGTGTGTGTGTGTGTGTCCTAGTGCCCTCTTCTTATAAGGACACTGGACAGGTTGGATGAGGGCCCATTCCAATGACCTCATGTAACCTTAGTCACCTCTTTAAAGACCTTATCTCCAAATACAGTCACATTCTCAGGAATTGGAGGTTAAGACTTCACCATATGGATTTTGGGAAGACACAATTCAGCCCATAACACACCCTAATTTCCCTCCCTCCTCCTGCTCCCCGAAGTAACCCACATACAGCTAGAGTCACTAAAGATCAGGCTGGGAGAGACCTTCATGAGCATCCTGCCCAGTCTTTGCATTTCACAATGGAGAAACTGAGGCCCATAGAAGGGAAGAGGCTTGCCACGAAAATCACCCAGCAAATTAAGTCAAAGTTCCTGACTGCTGGTCCAGGGGTCTTCTTGTGATCCCGCATCCATTTGTAAACACCCTCTCTGCTTTCCTGAGCGCCCACCCCACTCACCCCAGCAAGGCAGGAGAGAGGCTGGTGGGAGTCAGGAGCAGATTTCCTTCCAGGAGCTCCCCACCTTGGCCCCGATCAGTGAAGGCCAGGCAATGCCCACACCTCACCTGCAGTGAAGCCCCGGCCTCTGGAGCTGTTCCCAGCCACCTGCGGGATTTCTGGTCACCGGAGCTCAGCCTTGGAGCTCCCAGAAGGGGAAGTTGATTGAAATACCAAGCATTCGATGTTCTTCCAGTCCAGAGTGTCAGTAAAAAGGACCCTCTTGCCACCCCAAGTGCTCTGCTTCAGTCCATCAAAGGCTTCCCAGGAGCTAAGAGCCACCACCTCTGCCCTGGGGGCCTGAGGAACGTCCCCTGCATCCGCTCCCCCATAGCCTCTTCAAGCCTGCACAGCCTAGACGTGAGCAGCTGATGTCAGTGTAATCCAGTCCTCTCCAGAGCCACCCTCAGTCCATCCATAGTGTGCGCACTTCTACGGCCCCCAAGTCTGCAAAAGAAACGTTATCCTCCTCAGTGCGGCAGCCTATCTCCCAGCCTTGGCCCCCAATTAGAAGCAGGGAACTTCAGGCCAAACTGCTTGCATTCAAATCCTTTCTCTAACACTTTCTAGCTGTGTAACCTTAGAAAAGTTACTTATCCCCTCTGTGCCTCAGATTTATCATCTGTAAAATGGGGACAATAGCAAGACCTTCCTTATAGGATTGTTACATCTACTAAATTAGTTGATATGTGCACTGCAGGAAGAATAGGGTCTAGAATATATTAAGCCCTATGTAACTATGTGTTAAATACATATATGCATACATACCCCCCACCCCACCCAGCGTACCCAACACAACAACAACCTTCCTAAGAACCCACAATATACAAGGCACAGTTCCTAGCAGGAAAAGGCTGGTGCATGCAGGTGTACTTAATAGGAGCCTCGAAAGGCAGGGAGAAATTCCCGGGGTCGGGGGAGTGGAGCAATCCGGGCAGGGGGGGGAAGATCGTGATCAGTCAGGGTGGCTTAAGGGCGCATGCGCGTTGGGCAAAGGAATGGTGTGGCTGGAGCTCTGAGCAGGAGGAGAGGTTGTAGGGGCTGAGGCTGAAAAGACTGGAGACCAAATCTCGGAGAAATGGGTTCTACAGTGAGGGGCCTCAAGGGTGTAGACTGCTTATCAGTCAAGGAATGCACCACGCATGTGCCCCTCTCTGGGCCTTGCTCAACCTGGTCCTGTCCCCACTCACGCTGCCACACGGTAAACACTGAGTTTCAACTCCGTCCTGGCTCAGAGCTAGGCCAGGCATATAAAACTGCATAGGGTGCGTGTAGTCTGCTCCAGAAAGAAGCACAAAGTCAAGACGGAGAGAGAGGCAGCTAATTGGCCGATTCGAGTATGATATAAAGGAAGAATGAGACCCTGGACAAGGGAGATGCCAGATGAACTCGAGTCGTCAGGGAGGGCTTTCCAGAAGATGAGGCACGTGAGAGCAAGGGTGAAGGGCACCTGAGCCTTTGCACTGGGGGAAGGTAAGGAATGTTCCAGTCTGTGAGAAGGCACCAGAGCGTGAAACTGCTTATGTCCTGGCACGGCCGGAGCAAAAAGCACACAGGGGGCCAAGAGGCGAGGAATAGGCTGTGGGGGAGGAGGCGATCAGAGCTGTGGGGCCATCTGGGCCTAGGAATCGTATCACCATCCGGGAGTTAACGGGCTCCGGAGATGGACTTTGGGGACAGGAAGGGCAAAAGTAGAGCTACCTTTTAGAGAGAACTCTGCCGGTTCCCCCAGCAGCCCGGACTGAGACGAGAAGGAGAATGTGGGTGGAGGCGGTTTATTGTGGGGTGACTCCAGGAAGCAGCAGTGACAGGGCGAGGGGACTGAGTTACTCTTGGGGGAAAAGGCAACAGGGGGTGTGTTATTGAGCTGGTTACCTCTGTGGGCAGTGAGAACTCAGTCCTGCTTGGGGACCCCCAGAGACACCATCAATGAACTTCCCATTGTCACCAACTTTCAGTCCCCACTACTTGAGGGTCGCCTCTGGGAAGACTTAACTGTCCCCCCACCCATCGTTCTTCTAGATTGTACCTGCGCAGGGGCTGACTGGCCTTCTGTGGTTTTGAACAAGCCCTGCATGCCTGAAATAGGATACTCACAGTATGAAATTGTCCTCATGGCTGTGCTGAGACCAGGTGGTTTGGGGCTGGGGGGAGGGGCGTGTGGGGCACAAAAACATCTGCAGCCATCCCCCTGGGTACAAGGTGCATCGGTGAGAATTATGTTCCATTGCAAATAACAGAAAAACAAAAACGAATAGTGGCTTCATCAAGTTAGACAGTTCTTTCACCCTTGCGTGAAGAAGTCCAGAAATAGTGGTTTATGGCTGGTACACTCGTGAAGAGCATTCTTCCAGCTGTGGAAGGCCACTCTCTAAATGGCCCAGTGTAGCTATTAGAGCTTCAGCCACCATATCCATGGTCCAGGCGGCAGAACAGAGCCAAGAGAAAGAAGAGTGCACCCTCTCCATTTTAAGGAAACTTCCCAGCACTACCACATGACCTACTGCTTATGTCTCCTTGGCTAAAAGCTAGGCACGTGGTCATTCCTTGCTAAAAGAGAAGCTGGCAAATGTTGTCTTTTGGCAATGTACCTAACTAAAAATTGGGATTCTTTAACTAAGAAGGGAGAAGGAATGGACCTTAAGAGGCAGCTAGCAGCCCCTGCCACAAGGATGCGAGACGGAGACCACAAGGTTAATTAGGAAGTGATGGTCATAATCTAGGGAGAGATGAGGAGGGCCTGAGTGAAGGGAGTTGGGGGGAGATGGAGAGGCGACTGCATCTGTCAAATGTCTGGGTGTGGATTTGACAGGACTTGGTTAGGGATCAGAGAGGAAAGGAGGGGCAGGAGTCAGGAATGTCATTGATGCTGAGCAGAAATATGTAAATAAGATAAACAGTTTCGGGGAAGGGCATGAGTTCCACCGTGGCCATGCTGAGTTCGAGACACCTGAAGGACAGCCACAGATGTCCAGGAAGCAGACCGTTGGGTGTTCAGGTGGTCAGGAGAGAGGTTTAAGCCTGAGATAGCAATTTGGGGACATCAGCCATTAGAGCAGAGAAGAGTCATCAGGGTGAGAATGTAGTGGAAGGAAGCAAGGGGCTCAGACAGCAGCAGGCTAACATCAAAGTGTCAGGGGCATGGGAAGCTGACCTTTGTGAAATGCACCCAAGGGCAGGAGGAGAGTCAGGGGTATTGATGCCCCTGGTTAGTTGCGTCCCTCTGTTGAAACCCCTAACAGGAAATGCCCTCTTGTAGCTACACTCTCTGGGTTTTGATAACCACTTGGCCTTCAAGCCTAGGGTTGGTAATGGCTCCCTGGTATTATTCATCTTGGAGAGCGGCACTATTTCCTGTTGGATTCCCTTAATCCTTGTATACTTTTGTAAACAGTGCCTTCATTAAACTGTCCTTGATTACAAAGATGATAGAGATAGATAAATGATAGGTAGGTGGATAGATAGATAGATAAAGAGAGAGAGGCAGAAAGAAAGAGAATAAATAAATATGTGAAGATGAATGGATGGATGGATGGATGGATGGATGGAGGATGGATAGTAGATAGGGAGGTAGCAGGGAAAGATGAGATCACGAGGGAAATTGGAGGGAAAGGACAGGGGAGGAGGTAGGAGGAGAACCAGGAGTCAAGGGAGAAGTGAGCTCAGTGTCAAATGTGACCCCCACATTAGTTAAGAGGAAGGCTATGACACATCCATTGGATTTGTCACAAGAAGGTCGCCAATGACCTCGATGAGAGCAGTTTCCTGTTGTGGGAGAAGCCAGATTGCGGTGGGTAGACACGGAGAAATGAGTGGGAGGTGAGGAAGTGGGAACAACTGCTTCGTCCCTCATCTCCA